GAATAATGCAAAAGATTCTCTTTCAAAATGAAACTCGCTTTACTTAGCGCGAAATTATTTTAATCAGAAGCTTTCTTCGTTGAAGCAAGCAAGAAATGACAGAAACGTCATGTAACTAGAGTATAATAAATTTTTAGAATATATTTATACCATTCTTGGTGCTAAAAGCACGACAAAATCTTTGATACTCGAAACACTGCTATATTATGGAACTGGTACATGTTTGTAGCAAAAGTACCAGCAGAATGATTTTAAAATTCATCTAAATTAAAGAAACAATTCCCAAACCCTACATATCACGCAAACATCTCGCAGAATTGAGTCGAACACGCTCAAACACCAACGTGTCCAAAAACAAAAGAGAACAACAGTGAGATTGTTAAATCGCTCCTATGGGAATTGTTAAAGGCGCAAGAAGGAAAGGTGAATCGAATCTGCGTACATCATTGATCGGCTGCGTGTATACACGAATTATCTATACGTTATGACGGCTAACAGGATCAGGGTCTAGTGAAATTTACTCTGACATTCGCGAAGACCTACCCGCAAATCCCTCGATTTCTCCAGGGACATGGAAAAAATCGCGAATGATACGTTGGAAACCGATGCACGCCAAAGTATCGTCATCCCGCTAGTTATATCCGGTCAAAAGATACTCTGCTATGCTTTTCGAACACCCTAGGACGAGTTTCAGCTGATTTTTCAGCGAAGAGTTTGCTTAGGGTAGTCGGCTTGAGAAAGCGTCTAAACGGTTCCATCTGGAATGGAAACTTGAAGCAAGGTGAATGGCTCGCCACGCTAATTGTCTGCAGCAAAATTAAACTGAAGTCACGTTAATTATGTAACACTCCGGTCTGCGAAGCAGGCAATGTGCGGCTGGTACCTGGAGATACGGGGTGATGATGGACGAGCATAGCGGACCTTAGCAGGGGCTGCCAAGCTCGAGCAGTGAAATCCCTAACTCAACGCTAACTCGATCAGTCAACGCCCACCGTGGCGTTGCCCGGCACTAATCTGCCTCCAGATTAATTACTACGTAATACCGGTTTGAATAATTATCGTTTCTAGGGCAACCCGAACATCCTGACTCTACTTTGCACACCTGACACCCTTATTCTATTTAGCGGTTTTATCAGTTGAACAGGTTGCACCCTCGCTTCTTAACAAACTAAGGAGACCAAAAGCAACTAGATTAAATTCTTGTACTTAATTAAAATTAAAATTTTTATCTAAAAACCATAGAGAATAGTTTTTCGCCAAAGGGCTAGAATCCCAATTACCTGGTCCAACGATATCATTTCGGTTGAAACGCGATGAAAATCACGAAATAAAAAGGAAAGAGGATACAAGCGTGTGAAGAAATAATTCGTCCTTCGACCACGAAGATCAATCCTCACTGTGGGAGTTCCGATTCGGTAGCCGAGTGTATCTGACGGCGTAGCTACCGGTACAGTTCCTTCGAAAATTAAAAAACGACCTGATCCGCGGAATATACAGGTACAACGGATCGTGTATACACAGAAGGTGGCGAGGATTTCATCGAAGGAGCATGGGGTCCGAGACGGCTGCAACGAGCAGAGGGATTCTGGTTTTCAGCTTTCGGTCACGCGATGCCTTTTTTCTCTGTTCCCGGTACCCGGTTATCTTCAGCCTCGGGCGGTAAACCTCTACTTTTCGTCCATTTTTCTACTCTCTTTTACCACGACGCGACGCCCTTCTTAGACGCGATTTATTTCCTTCCGATCAGCCGCTGTCGCGATACCAATCAACGGCACTTAACATTCGGATCTGTTCTCGAAATGGATATGAAATGAAATGGACGTGTCTGCTTTGGTGTCGTGAATGCATCGTTTAACCAATCACGGCACGGCTTAAGTGCAATCGGTTCCGAGAAGCAAGAAATCGAAAGCGAGTTATGACCGGATGGAAAGTTGCGACTTGTTGATTTCATGAAGAATGTGTCGAGTATAGCTCTTTAACTTGTTTATGGTTTCTATATTAGATCCAATTAATCATCATATCTAACTTTTATGATAGTAATAGAAAATTTATTAATTGATCAATAATATTATTAGTAATTAATATCACGATGTGTCTTGATTCATAGCTATTTTCACTGTGACATTCAACGTGTTAATAAACTTAAGACAAATGTTTACGTCCATTCAGGTGGCAGTGATTCACCCTACGTGTCACTGAATCTCAAACATGGTTCGCTCTTTTTGCCTGCAAGACTCAAATTGTTATACCATTTATGGGCATCGCCAAAGGTCCGCTCGCACCTGACATGCCTTGAAACATCCGCTTTCAAAACTCGCGAGAAACATGCGATATATCTTTTGTCAGTCACATACTTATGCGTGTTATTTTAATTGCCTGCGATTTAATCTCAATCTTACCCTTTACGAACAGAGTAATTTTAAATTTAACTTTGACTGGACCAGCACACGTTGCATTCGTATGTGATTCGGTTTCTACTCTAAAAGGTTCATCTTACACGCTACCGCCCGGAGGGTCGAAGAGTCTTTGGCTTACAATTAGAGAAATCATCCTCTGTCAAATCGGCAAGATTGTTTCTCTGAACGTAAATTGCCCTCTAACCACCGAACTGTTCGCCGGTTCCGTATAATCCTGGTCAAGTTTTATAGAACAACTTTTACGATAATTGGTCGAGAAAGATTTTAGACGGCTGAAATTTTCCCCTTCGCCCTGAACCGAAATGTAGAATTAAGGGCTGAAATGTCAAGAGCAAGGTGCCGAGCCGCGTTTAACTTGCGCCTCGACGATGATAGCTTTTTTGTAACTGTTACGTGAAAAATTAGAGGATTGTGTTTTTTTGAATTAGTCTAGGAAATAAAGAGAAAGATCGTGGGAAAACAATATAAGCGACAGTTTTAACCACTTCCGTTAGTTCTCGCCGGTTTCAAGTTGAAATATTAAACGATCAAATACTATTATTATTTTAATATGTACTAATCAAAATAATCGTTCACACGAGGGTATTATTTACCTATACTTAGTTTTTTGGATAAGCGAAAAGTGTTGGCATAATAGGTACGAAAAATCTCGAGGTGAAACCTTTTCGCCCTGCATCGCCATTTTCCCTACTGTGAAACCTACCGTGCTTCGTACTGTACACCAAAAATAAAAATAGAATAGCCCAAGCTTTTAAAATGAGAAAGATTGAAAGTATTCAGCTACCGCGTACACCGCTATCAAGCAAACCGAGTCGAATTAACTAACGCGTCTCGTTAGCGGAAACGTGGGTTAGATAAAAGGGAACGGTTCATTGCTCGGGACTGGTTCCGAGGCTCGTCACTTTTTAGCAAAGCCATGGACGGTTATCCGCACGAAAAAGCGAGAAACACACACAGGACGAGGGTTTATCGAGCGGGTTCGGAGGAACGTGAAGACTTCAACTTGTCTGCACGCCATTAAAATGTCATACCGGCGACCGACCGTGCACACACACACCTATCGCACACACGTGCACGTGTTTTCAACGGATTCGGTTCTAGCTGATCGTGACGACGGCAAGACTGAATAATTTCCTGGCTATTCATAATTAACATCTAAGTACTATACGCCTGACTATCGTTCTTCCATAGACACACAGTCACACATGCTTAACCTTTCCACTATTAAGGGTGAATTTGTCTCAACTTTTCGGACGAAAGTTCTTGAACGTAAAATTCTTGTATATTTATTTTTAACAGTTCTCAATTTAACACCTGGGAGGTTTGAGTTTGAAAGGTGATTTCATCCCTTAAATTGTGTCATCACAGCTGAAATAAAGTACATATCTATTATTTTTAACTGTTCTGTAAGCCTATAGTGTTTCATCGACATCCGAGCCGAGGCATTCTTGACACCTTCTTGTTAGACACCTCTGTTCTTCAATCGTTTCCTATTTTTCAATTTTCTATAAAAAGAGTTACTATTAGTGTATAAGAAATTTATACACAGAATAGAAATAACTCTCTAAAATAGAAATTTTGATATTGTTTTGATTCTTGTCTTCAAAAATAAATATTTCTACTGTCGTTAAAGCATAAATGAAGTACACGTGCTTTTTCTTTGCACGATGACAGTAGGAATCACAAGCATTAAAATCTCCATTATTCGCAATCTGCGATCATGGAGCATTAAAACGTAAACCGCAATTTACTCGGAACAATGTCATTTTACATCAAGGTATGCGTAACCGGAGAATAATAATAGAATTGTTATAATCAGAAAATGTGGTTGATGAATAAGAATCAAGGTCTATGTAAACTGACATTTTTTGTGTTCGAACGATGGCAGCATAAATTAAACTTGAAATTAAAGAAAAAAAGATGTAAATTGCACAACAATAATAGTATACACACAGAAAATTAAATGGGTAACGATTTAATTAATGATTTTAACACTCGATTTCATGACAACGTTTAATCTTGTCTGGCGTGTGAGAATGTGTTTTATAATAAATTACAAAATTTATAAGTTTGTTTTCGTCGTTTAAATAAATTTACCTCTTAATTGACACGAAGCGATACTAGTAGAGTGCAAAAGAAGAAAAATGAAATTGGCTATCCTTAAACACGTCTACACGCTAATTAACGATGAAAACAAATGTTGAACAGCTGATAAGCAAAGTTGCTCCTTTTCCTACGCGTAATTACCCTCTTCTAAGTACACGTATTTTATCATAAAAGTGTTAAGTATTTAGAAAAATCATTTAAGCAAACATGTAAATCCCTATAGATCTTGACAAATAATTATCATTTCCATCTTTTTATATATTTCAGTTTTTATCATTTAAATGTAGTTTCTTTACATTATTCATAACCAAGATAGCAAACAAGAAAATCTTTCTATAATAAAAGCATTCTGTATGAACCGATCTAATAAATCATTTCAACGCATCATCACAATAAATAATAACCCCTACAAGATACCCGATCCCATCGGGGAGGTTAAATCTCCGACGACGCGTCGGTGTCCCATGATTCTTTTACCTGCCAGCCTGTCCTTCAGGTGCGGGTGTCCCTGGAGCGGATGTGCGGCAAGGTTTGCCAACAAGCTCGCTCTGTGAAGACCCGCCGCCGCCGCTTGCTGTTGGCTATGTTGAAGAGCTTGTAAACTCCAAGGTGGTATCAAGGCCTGTGCGGGCAGAGCACCCGTTGGTGTCCCATTAGCACCGGGTGGTCGGTGGGCAGGGACCCTGATTACGCCTCCGCCGGTGTATATCAGTCCGGATCCGGTTGGGAAAAGTCTGAACGGCGCCAACAGATCCGCCGTGCTTGTACAGTGAACCGACGACGAGGAATTTGTCTGAGTTTCGGCGGTACTTCCGGTGTCGTCATCGTCCTTCTCGGAGAGTTTCTCTTCAATTTCGTGACCCCACGATCTTCTGCCATCGTCCAAATTCATCGACGAGCCAACATTATTGTTGCTCTCCTCCCACGACCATTTTCGTTCTTTATCACTGTCCAAGTCCTCCGAGGAGGGGCTCTTCCGGTTCTGAGACCTATTGTCACCCAACAGACGACTTATACTGAACGGATGACTCCTCGGCGATTCATTCTGCAACGTTCTCGAACTGGTCTGACTCGGAGGAGGGGAATTCGAGCACTCCGAGTGCTCCTGCGGTAAACGACGATTGTCGTGAGTATAGTTACGCGGACTACAACTTCCGGAGTCCGAGTCGTCCACGTTGATCTCCTCCGTCGCATCCGCGTCGCTGTCACCGTGAACTGACATACTGTCCTTCCAATTAATTCTAATTATTTCTGATTCTTTCAAGATCGTGTCAATTTATTATTCACCGAAAGACGCTTCGAATGCTCATCCTGCGCCTCTCTCCTTCTCTGATAATCACTGATGAATTCTTAATAAGAAACTTCAATTTATGCAAGAAGATTTATGGAAGTTTGTCTTAAGTGTATTCATCCAACATTTGGCCCATTGTGTACTCCGATCCATCTGACGGCCATATTGCTGTCGTACCGTTCCAGTGTCCTCTATGGAGAGATCACCGATAAACAAAATTCCACGATCGTCCTTCCAAAAGTCTCACTGATATAACACCGATAAATTCCTCTGGTGTTCATCCATGGGCACACAAGTTCACATTCGTCGTGGATACACTATCGTTTGCGAGTCACTGTTCACTTCTGATGCCAAATTATCAAACAAGTATACATAAACTATATAATGTTCCTGGAGGATCAGTTGTAAAATTAAATCCCGCAATTGATATTATAGCGTTGGGTTAAGATCAGTCGTTCGATGGAACGATTGTTCGGATTTGAAAAATGACGCTGGACACGCGGAAGGATGACGCGAACGGTTCACGTGGTACTGTAATTGGAAAAAGGGCAGCGTTTCCCGTACGGAACTGGATCCGTGGTGTGTTGAGACGTGAATCCAGGTCGTTCGCGACGAGAGAGACGGGACGTTTGTGAGGGAACCAGAGAAACCGGATGGTTCATCCCTACCCACGGTACTGCGACGACTCGAGCAGGGACCCGGCGTCCCGACGTACGGTATCGCCTACCACGACGCCTCTGACCAATCGTTGCCCACCTGGATCCGCCTACCAGCGCGCCGATTGGCGAACGTTAAATTGATACCTATTTAACATTTGAGCAGAATGTTGCAGGCGATCGCCTTTTTCTCCTATATTATTTATTGCCCGATCGTCGTGCCTCCTTTTTTCGCCTCCGCTTCTCTTCCGTCTCATCCTCTTTCATCTTACAAAAGCTTCCTCCTTCTTCAACTGTGCAACTCGATGTCCTCGTTTCGCTGCAGAAACGTGCCGCATCGAGTTGAAGAAGCGGAGGGACTTAATTACGACGAATATCCTTTTACCCTCCCTTCTCTCCCCCCCCCCCCTTCCATCTTGAGTCGCCTCCTCTTTCTCTATCCCCTTCTCGCATCCTAGTCTACCTCCTATTGTCCTTCTCCTGTTCTCCAGCCTTCTTACGGTAGAGTTCCTTCTTGTACCTTGCCTTTTATCGCGCTCCTGCGATGGAGTTCCTGTCTCTCTTCTGCATAGTCTTCGGGAACATTGAGCAAAAGGCCAGACGATTTGCCTTTCTCGTTTAGGATGACGAATGAGAAATCTAGCGATGGGCATTCGATACTTTCTATTGCAACTTTTTTTTTATCGTTGGATTCTATGACAAATTCAGCCATTTTGTTGGGCTATTACAGTGGTTATGTTGCTTTAAGTATTTAATATTTAAATACCATGATTTTATTCAATATAAAAGTTAATAATTCAGTAAAAGATCAAAATATGGGTAATGTGGTAAGTAGGAGAGGGCCATCAATCTGATCAATGATAATCTATGTTAGAAATTAACACGTTCCTTGTCGTAGCAAGATACGTTAAAGACTTAATTTTTTTATGCTTTATAAATAGCATTCAACATGTTAATCGGAATAACAATTTTTTACGTTTTGCAACGCGCAAGAAATTAAATGAACCAAGCGTCGATTAGGTATTGCATTAAATCGATGCAACGATTGCATTTGAGACTAATCCGCGTGCATTCGACACGCCGTTGTGCAATAGACATTGCGGTATTCAGTAATGGCAACAAAATAATTTGCAGCATACGTAGTGGCGAAACATCGGTTTAAGCCTTATGCATTGCAATTCCCGCGTTATGCATTTCTCGTGGGCTACTTTTCTAATGGCCGAGGTCATTTAACAATTTCAAATGGTAAACGACGTAAGTGGATACAAAAGATAGAAGAAATTTTACTCTTCTTGTAAAGCAACGTCAATCGCTTAAAGAACAAGTTTAAAAAAAGAAACACACCGATTGCTCAACGAATCGTCCGGGGTTAAAACTTCGATTGTTTTGAATAAAAAATAACCCTTTTGCAGGAGGGTACGCGTACCAGTTGGTTTTCCGCGTCGTCGCCGCGTCTTTTATCCCCGGAAAAACAGGACAGAACCCCTCGATTTCGTTCTGTCCCTTTTACTTCTCGCGAAACCTTTCCGTTCCACCCTCTGTCGCGATGCTATCGCGAGGTTTGTAAGCGTTTCCAAAGGGGTGGAATGAATTATTCGAACGTCGGTGAAAACGCCTAAGTGACACGCGGATGCCTGACATCCGAATTGATCCCCGATCGGAACGCATTGAGTCGAGGACGAGGTAGCCTCGAGAACAAAGTTGGATTTCACTGAAGATATCCCCGCGAGGAAACTAGAGAGCCACGGCTTTCTTGCATAATTTGCGAAAGCTCACGGAAAGCCCATTAATCTACCTTCGTAATGCAAGGATCAATGAAGAATCGAGTGACTCGTTCGAATACAATTTTCTTTTACACGATGAAAACAATTAATTTTCTTTTACACAATTAAAAATTAATAAACCCGGAGCACTCCTGAAAGAATTCTATAATAGTTACACCAATGGTCACGAGTGAAAATTTTATCAATTAAGTATCGCAATATTTTATTAAAAATTTCTGTCAACGTTGGAGATGCATTAAACCGATTTCACCCCGGTCTGTAAGAGAAGGACGAGTTAATCGAGAGAAAATCTTTGGACTTTCTCTCCATTGGTCCCCAGTGTGTTCGGAGCGACTCGTTACACGTATCTGTAATCGTTTTCAGCGGTCGTACCTCTCCCTGTGTCGTCTGATTCAGCCTCGCATTACGTACGGAGAATATTTCTCTGGTAACAGAACGCTGCTAAATAATTGATTAGATTGAAAGAGGGTTGCAGGTTAGCGTGCGTATTCGCTGCATCAATGGGAACTGTTCAGAGGGGTCGGAAACCACCGACCACTGGTGCATCGATGAGAAACTGATAACTATTATACACTGCATTCGAGAATCCGCATTAAACGCGCTTAAAATATTATAAAATAAAACTTTTATGTTAAAATTGACTCTATCAGTCAATTTCAATGAAACACAAATGTCCAATTTAACACTGACGATGTAAACACCCTTCATTCACAAAACAACAAATTCAATGCTAATCAAAATCTACAGCATCTATTGAAGAGCTTTACTAGCCTAATATCAAGAGTATAATCAAAGAACAACCCCCTTTGCAAGAAGATGGGGCGCCCACACCCGGAACGTGATACGAAACAGAGACATCAATTTCGTTAGAGCGCACCCATATGAGAACTCGTGTGACTGCATGACACCTAACGTCCTACGCGAAAATGTTATGATTCCCTGGCGTCGATCCCTGGGGAACCGGGGACAGAAGGGGCCCACCTTTGTGCCCGTCGCAAGGTTCATCGAGTGAACAACCACTTGACGAGGGGCGTGTGGCTAGCTGGAACGATTGGCTTGTTGTGAAATTGTATATTGTCAAGGGTCAGGATGGATCTATTGGGAGTGCAAGTGTTACATGCTCGTTACCAGGGTAGAGATGGAAATCTAGTTGCCACGGGTCTCGGTTACAGGTTGAAAAACACTGGAACCAAGCAACTGTTGCAAATACATAAATGAGAATTGTTGATGACCGGATGATTAATTTCATGGGAGGGTTGAATTGAGAAAAGAAGATTTAATTATCGTAGATATATTTCAAATGATTGCAATGGGATGCAGTTGCATTATACCAGAATTTTTGCCAAATAAAAATTGAAAAACATTGTTATTCAACGAAAAATAAAAAGAGAAGTAACTAAGATTTGCTGTTTTCACAGGTTACTTTTGATTTACAGGTGATTATTTTTCGAAACGGATTTTACGAGTTCTCTGCCGGCCTGCAATAACGCGGGGCAATAATCGCGATAGGAACCCTTCGAGAAATCGTTCTCTTAGGCAACAAGCAATTTAGTAAAGTACGAAGTAATTCGGTTCGGCCAATTTTCGCAAACCACGATCTTTTAGTGCTAGATTCTAGCGCGCTTTGTGGAAAGTTTGGCGAGAGAAAAGAAATGTTCTGAGTCGTACGTACCCTGTTTTAATACGAATGAAATATTTTCAGAAAAAATTTAATTCAAATCAATTTTAATTTCATTTAAAATTTTAACTATGTCTTTCTTCGGAAAAGACCCAGCCAAAGAATATGTAATATAATATAATCATTTGCTAAAAATATAAGCGACACGCTGAAATTTTAATAATATTTAATCAAATTCTATGTGCTAACTATAAATGGGTGATCCGAATATAGAGATTAACCGATGATATTAAGCACACGAAAAATTCATGCGTTTAAGTCACAGTAAGAACTGAACACAGTTAAATTCACGGAATGCTTGAAATACATTGTATTTCGATCCACAATCGGAAAGTAATTATGTTTTATTCCAACTAATTTTAAAATTTCCAAATTCTCAAATTCTCAAATTTTTAAATTCACGACACTGTTGATAAATCTAACGATAAGAGCCCTGTACCACCTCAGGAAAAGCTCCTAATTATTAGAGGTTGCTTTACAAGCCGAGCTGAACTCGCTTCGATTGTTCGAGCCGAGTCGAGCGCTTGAATTTGAAACAAAAGCGAGCTACTCGAAAAAATCGAGTCGTCGTAAAACTTCGATTTACTTGAAGATGAATTTTCAGCTCGAATATTCGAGTAGTTTGATTTTTTCGAGTAGCTCGCTTTTGTTTCAAGCAGTTCGTCAATTTCGAGTAGTTCTGCTCGGCTCGACCGACCGATCATTGCTTGACGCGAATCATTGCGGGACACCAGCTGTCCAAGTGTTAAGAAACGAAAATCATAGATCGTTGGATAACGATGGAAAAGCTCTTTTGGCAGGGGTTTTATATCCGGTAAAAAATTCAACCGTAACAGGACTGCGGAGGCCATGGAGGAATGGAAAATCGACGTATCTCTGAATTATCCTGCGCAGACTATACGACAAATGGAAGGAAGTTTTCCTTCTCCCCGCGGATTTCCGATCCAGATTTCTGGAAGTTTAAAGTTCGTGGCCGACCGAGGATCACCCTGAAGGGGCTTCTATAAGATCCTACGAGTTTGTGACGGTCGGCGAATATGTTCGTGAAACATTCAAAGAAGAAGTTTTATGTCGCGGAGACGGTGGGAATCGCATAAAGAAAGATACCCATCGATGTTGCAAGATGAGTCTCGATAATATTAGATTTTTCATATTGAAAAACTATGCACATCTCCCTCCATAAATCATAAGAACAATTATAATTCAATTTACAATATTCCAACTCTAATTATTAAAAAATAGCAATTATCTAATTAATTTTTAAATTTCAACTTTTCTATCTGCCACCTTACATTATTATTAATATTATTCAAAATAATATTTTTCACCGGTGGCCCCCTGCATTCAACGTGTTAAAAATCCAATCATGATACTTATTTTAAAAATTAAAAAAAGAAGTAAGTTAAGATGATCTGACTTTACTATAATCGAAAGTTCATTGAGACCAGATAATAGAATAAACGAAAAGTAGAATATAATTCTTTGTAGGAAGAAAACGATAATCTGACAACTATATTGTTCCCGCAACTATATGGGGC